TTCTCCCACTGCTTGTATTTTGTAATATTCCTTTCATTCTTAAAGGATCAAAAATTAGTCTGATTTAGTGAAATCCTAAATGTTACCCTCTGGAAACAAATCTCCAAAGTAGCTTTCTTTTCAATATTGTAAGAGCCTACTTTTAACTGAATTTCTATATAATAGATATATACATTTTTCATAATTCCTTTTTGACAGATCTTCAGGATTTATTCCACAAGACTGGCCAGGATGTGGATGGGAAGCTGACCTACCAGGAAATCTGGAACTCTCTAGGTTCTACCTTGCCAGATCCAGAGAGCTTGAAAGCATTTGATTCCAATGGAGATGGAAGATACTCATTCCTGGAGCTAAGAGTAGCTTTAGGTGTCTAGCCTCAACAGGCATTATTTTAGGAATGGATGTATACCATGGACTACCTAAAATCTACTTACGTAACAAAAACAACCCTTTTATGCATCAGCCCTCTAGTCCTCCAAACTATTGTAGCAAACATATTGCCACCTTCTAACTTGTTTGAAAAGCTATACAAAAGTTATTTTTTTAAAAAAGAAAACCATTTTACTTATAATCTGATGTTCAAAAATCTATAATTTCCTGAAACCAGTAATATCTTACATTTTAAAATTGCCAGGAAAAGAAATAATAAAGCCCTCTTTTTTTCTCCTTCCTTTTTTTTTGAGGGGAGGAGACCTTATCTTTTAAAACTGGAAAATGTATATACAGAGAGAATAAGCCACCTTTTATATTTCATATAAATTTGCCTTAATAGCTGCACTTTATAGAGACTCAGAAAATGTCTTGTCTTCAAAAGATAGGCCTTTTCTGTTTGTAAATATTTAAAATGAAAGAAAAATTGTGCATATTGTGTGGAAAGTAGAAAGAATGATTTTGAGCAGGATGTGAACAAATTACTTATTTAAAAAAATCATTTATTTGGGTAACAACTGAAACTATATTCACATATACTTAACTCATCCCTCCTCCAAGGCCAAGGTGCTGCCATGGGGTTTAGCCTGCAGATAGGGGCATTGATTCAGGGACTGGATGCTGTGGGAACAGTGCCGGCTCCATACTTTAAAAAGTTGGCTTCTGAGAGTTTATTCCTATTCCCTCAATGAATCCCAACATGTGAACCAGAGAAGTCTTCTTGAGCATTTTTCTCATTTTTAATCCTCTTATAGGGTTTAGGAACACAAAAAGTTATCCAGTGGGGAGGAGCTACATTTTCCCTCAAGTGAATTAGATTATCTTCCCTATCCACCTACACAAGTCTATCTAAAGGCTATAGCTGGCTCCTACCTTCAGTAACGTCTCCATTCTGAATGGTAAAACCCAAGTCCCTAGTCACTGTCTCAGACTAGCCACCCAGGGTATTAAAGGAAAAGGGTACATCTACTTTTAAAACAAGAAACTACCCCTTTGAGATTTTTCCTGGGAGCTAACCAAGAATCTGATGGATTTCTTGGTGAGATGACTAGGGCCAAAAATAGTTGTGAAATGAAATGTGTGAAATCATATTGTTTTCTTACAGATATCAGCTCAGAAGTAGATACAGGCTTTCTGTCCAGAGGATGCCAAACTATAGTTGGCACTACAACAGAAGCCTTCATATGATGGTAGCAAGTGCAATACTTCTCCCTTATGGACCTGGCACAGCAGGTCCCGGAACTGGAAGGAATGGTCTAAGTCACTTGTATGTTGAGTTACACTTGCTGTGTTGTTCCCAAAGGCAATCTTTGGGTAGCACAAAAGGAAAACTTACAAAACTTAACTTTGCTGTAGTCAAGTGAGGGAGAAACTAGAGAAGCTCCCATGGCACCAACTTCTCTAATAGAGTTCATTTTTCATTTAACTTGTCCAAGACCTGTAAGCCAGTGCAGTCCAGTACCCTGAAACATGTAAAGACTGGTTTTTTTCTTTACATTACATTCAGCTTGGTGTTAGCTAACTTTAAATTTTTTTGTAGAAGTATTAAAATTCAGTTAAAGCAGGACAACGTCTCTTCTAATAAATGTGTCTGCTTGTCATTATTGCTTATGTTTCTCCCTTTTAAAATGTTTTTCTTTAACATTTCCCTTACCCATCTATGTTATTTCACTTTCATGGAAAAGTTAAAATTAGCCTGGCACTTTAGGAAACTTGATAATTTTTTGCTCTTCTGGCTGCTTTCCATGCCCTCCTCCTTTTTAATATATATACCCTTACAGATTTTGTAACAACCAAATAAAGTTCTAGCAATAAATTGAATTATACTGCTATGTTTGTATATATTGTACCATAAATAGTATGTCTGTACCTGGAAGGTATTTTTTTGATAACTGATTTATATGAAATATACTTGAGGGTAATGTACCTTGTCCTTTTTAGTTTCAAGTTCTTATTCATAGGCAGATACATTCAGGACACCTTAACTCTTTGTAGTATGTATTTTTCTTTTACATCCAATAGCTATATCCGTGGAAAACTCAAGGTTTCTTTTTTTTTCAATTTCTCTTCTGTTCTTCCTACTTCAAGCTTGTCTGCCAGCATCACCCCTGAGCTGTATATAATGCCAACCCCTCCCCTGCCAAGTCTGCCAGAGGCATCCATGCTGCACTCAGGCCTATGATACCTTTGTCATCCTGCCTGAGTAACTACCATGTCTCCCAGACAGGTAGGTATCTCAACTTCCTTTGTTCAAGTTGAGCAGACTCTCCAGTTTACAAGCCCCAGAAACCTATCACTTAGTGTTAATTTGGGATTTATATCTGTATGCTGTCCCCACTTACGCAGCCTGTGCCTTGTGTTTGGCTATAGTGAAGCCTCACCTGCCACATTTTCAGCTCTGTGAGAAAGCTTGGGAAGTGAATGGTATGAGTTTGACATTCATTGTAAATTCTTTTACCTGTTCCTTCTGGCAGCTCCTACCACTTCTCTCCTTAGTTTCCCAAAGCACGACCTTCTTGACCCTTTTATTCCATTGCCTTATATATATGTCGGCATAATGTTTACTTAAATAGCCTCCCCATAAGTCAGAGAGGCAAACAGGTACTGTAGAAAGAGAAGACCCAAAGGAATAAAGTGCCTGGCTTCAGGATGACTGCAGAGTACTTAGCACTCAGGAATGGGTCTGAGGCAACAAAGCTGAGGAATGGACCCTTCCCCTGCTGTTGGCTGTTTTGCATTCTGCTGCAGTTTCCTTTCTTTGCAGTTGCTGGACATAACCCCTAGAGCCCCCCCTTGCTGGTCCTCTGGTCACAGTTGAGGATTTTGACTGTGATGGGCTCATACTCGTAATGGCCTGTTGTTTTTAGTGACAGCTTTTGTTTGCTGCACACCTCATTGGCTTGCTTACCAACACCAACTAGATGTGGTTTCTTTCATAACCAAACCAGAACACATTTGGGTATCCTGAGACTTTATAGAGCGTGTATTGTTTGTTATATGAACCTAACCTACCTTTTTTCACATATTAAGAAATGCAAATCTACTTTGTTCTAGTGGAGCTATTTTGGTAACATATAAGCAATTTTGGTTCTGTTTAGGGAGTGAATTCAAGGTTTTCATGACTCAATTTGAGCTTTATTTCATATCAGTGATACAGCCATTTTAATTTATCTAAATAAAACATTTCTTTTTTTTCTCTCACTGTGTCTTATTAAAGCCTCCTCCCACTCCTTTGGTTCTTAAGAGAAAGAAAATATGCTTTGATCCCTATGTTTAATGGATTCCTTCCTCCTTTGAAAGCAAGGGCTAACAGAGGTGGGCACAAAGCAAGTGTTCTAGAATCTACCTTCAGAATTAAAATATTGGGCCTAGAGAAGTGAAGACTGTAGGTCTTGGGCTTTAGGCATCTGCAGGGTTGAAGGGGGCAAGGTGAAGAGGGGGCAAGTTGAGGGAGGAGTGAACCTCTGCCCCTGTTCTACCAGAGAAGATCCACTTGGTCCTGCTTTATATTTTGAGATACAATATTAGATCATGTTTACAAAGGGGGGGGGGGGAGTTCCACTTACCTTTAAAAAAAAAAAAAGTTAAAAAGGCTTAAATCCATTGCTAGAGAGAGGTCATATAGATAGGACTAAGGCTTTACAGTTGCTGGACCTAATCCTTCAGCCCACACACAAGAAAAAAAAGAAAAAATTAACTACATGTTTACTAAGTTCTGAGAATCACAATCAATCTCTCTCTCTCTCTCTCTCTCTCTCTCTCACACACACACACACACACACACACACCCACACCCCACTCCACAAAATAGGCAAAAACTGGCCCTACCTCAGGGCAGTCTACATTTAAAGTTTAGATCAAATATGGTGAGTGGGTTTGCTCATTTCCAAAGTAAGTGCAGAAAATTTCTGTGACAGAACCAGGCTTTCATATCTTCAAGTTGGGGTCAAATAGCTCATAATTATCTCTGTGTCTCCTTTTAGGACCATTTCTAGAAAGTATAAAAATTATTAATATTCCCATGTAAATAGAGCAATAAGGGACTCTTAACTTTTGGGCAACCATGGATTTCTTAAGATACATGATATGGATATTTTTATGTGTATAATTTTAGGAGGTACTCACCAGCCCTTCCTCTAAGCCACTTTGTAGACCAAGTTGATGACACTCTACACACACTAAAGCATTCACCAAGTGTGTTTTAACAAGACATGATTAAGGAAGGGATACCATGGGGTAAGGTGGAAAGACCAAGAACTTTAATGTTAGGCAGATGTAAATTGGGAAACTAGCTCAGCAACAAAAAGAAAAGATAATGATATATGCCCTTGGACCTTGTCTCTTCATCAGTAAGAGAAGAATCATAACAGCCATTTTCCAGTGTTCCTGTATTAGAAAGTGGCATCGCCACTGTGGACTGCCATAGCTGTGTGCCCTCAGCACCTGTCACTCTGTGGCAATTGTACTTCCCATCCTGCAGAACAGCAATGCCTTTGGAGACCTAGCCCAGGGCTTGCACACAATAAATACTGGATGGAGGGATTTGAGCTCATCTGCAAGTATTGGTTCAATGTGTCTCTTCAAAGCCAACCTCCAATTCTCATTGTATTGGTGAGACTTGTGCCCCCATCAAACAGGGGAAGGGTACTGTCCTCCTAAGGCAGATGAGACACAATAGAGTAACTTTTCAAAAATCTTTAATAATGTAACATCTAAATGGGCTCTGATCTCTGTGTCAATATTACTTTCCTGAGGTTAGCTCCCTTTTCTAATACCCCTGGCACCTAAAGCTCCCACCTTCAGTGAGGAGGCTATAGCTCTGAAGCAAAAGGCTTTGCATTGAAACAGTTCACCCCATGGGTCAGTGTGGGAAGGGAATAGAAGTGGACATTACTCTTGATACAGATGGCAAATGAGTAGCAGGCAGAGTGGTTCAGCATTGGAGGTTGATTGTGAAGGGGCGGGACAAAGGGTATCTCCTAAAACATAATTGGGAATGGAGATCTGGTCCTGTGCTATGCCATCCAGTTAGAAAGAGGCTGCTGTGGGACCACCAGATCAGGTTGCAGGGGAACAGAGGCCTCTGCCTTGGGGCTGCTGCCTCTGTTGGCATAATGCCTGCCTTCAGGGGTGTCTGACCCCCACAGAGAATCTGGAATCTCAACTTTAATCTCAGTTTTGGTAACAGCCCAGGGAGGGCCTGTGTTGATAGCTGCATTCATGCCATATTGGCATCGCTTGTTTATCTAGTACAGGAGTGGGCTGTAAGTGCCCACTGCTGGGCACGCTCCTCCTGCTGGAGGTTCTTCTTCCAGTGCAGAAAGAGAATGCAGCCGCCAGTTATAATAGAGCACAGCCCCAGAAATCCAAAGTACAACGCGACCCACACTGAGGCAGTTAAAAGGGGGGGGGGGGGGCGGGGCAGGGTGACTGACTGCTCTAGCTTGGGACCTGAACTGTTTCTCATTCCTCGCCTTGAATTGGTTCATTCATCCATTTATTCCTTCCCTCCCTCCTCAAAGACATGCCTCATCATTTTCTTATTCAGTCAAAGCTAGATTTGCAGGGAGTCTAAGAGGCCACTTTAGCCTTTTACAGATAAGGAACACTAGGTCTAGAGAGGACATGACCTTCCCAGACTCAGTCAGGCCTTCTGGCTCCCAATCCAGGCCTATGGCTCTGGAAAGAATGAACTCACCCACTAACCTATCCACCAATGGGAGTCTCAGAAGGCTCAAGCCCCATTGTTCCCTAAAGAAGTCATCACCAGGTTCTGAACACTGGGAATTCCAGGGGTGGTGCTTGTGGAGGGGTTCTGAGTTGATGGGAGGAAGGGACTCCATCTGGTGGCATCTCATGAGCATAGTTGTCTTCCATCAAAGACTGGTCCACCACAGAATTATCTGTTCCCAACTTCTTATGGTGAACTCACAGAACAGCCCCCAGGAAAAGGCTCTCACACGCTCAGGAGCTTATTTTTATGTTGTCAGTTATTAGGGAGCCATTTCTGGATATCTTTTCCAGTGGTGAGTGGGGCAGATAGCACAATGAACATTGGGCAACCCTGCCCTTAAGAAGTTTCTGACCAAGTTGTCAAAGGAAAAAATAATAATAAAACACTGCTCAGGGGAACCAAGTGGTCCAAACCTCATTGTTTGGCTCTTGTAATCTCTCTTTTGTTTCTTCAACAAGTGCTGGCAAAGTATTTCCTGGGCATCATCTGGGCCTGTGGGAGCTCTGCCCATGTGATCTTGCATCTCTTTCCAGCTTCATCTCCCTCTCCATCTTTCGTATACCTCTCCCTTCCAGTCATGCCAGGTTTCTCAAAGACCCTGTTTATTTACCTTGGGAGTTTAGCTCACGTGGCTCCTTCACTCGGGAGTGCCTTTTCCCACATTTCCACTAAACATCTCCTTATCCTCCCAGGTAGTCAACTCCCCTACTCTTGAGGCAAATAGTCCTTTCAGTTTGATTTCCCAGAACCACATCATCTCCAGTTTGAAGAGACTTGGAGCATTGTCTAATCCAACTTCCATCAGATACTCGACTACTGAGGACAGAACTTCCCTAACTCAGCAACTAATCCCCCAGAGTTCATTTGACTCAGGAACTTGCTTACCGAGCTGAGGCAGCTTGCTTCATTTATGACCAGCTCAGTTAGAAAGCCATTTCCTAATCAAGCCTAGGTCAGCTTCCCAATAGGTTGTCCTGGCTCGGCTCCTTGGCACCATTTAGTTACTTCCAACTTTAACAGTAGCCAGAATGATCCTTTTAAGAATAGATCATGTTACTCTGCTCAAATACACAGTGAATTCCCATCTCACTCAGATTTAAAACCACAATCCTTGACCAAGTCCTCCAAATCCCTGAGCAATCTAACCAACCACTCCCATACCTCCTTAGACTCATTTTTACTGCCGTCCCCTTCACTCATTCACATAGAAAACCTCCTTGTTGTTCCACAAGCAGGGGACATATGCTCCTGCTTCAGGGTATTTGCCCTTGCTATTCCCCCTTCCTGGAAAGCTGTTCTGTCAGATATCCATAGAGATCATTCCCTCGTTTCCTTTGTTTCTGCTTGGGTGTCCCCCTTATCTCCATTTCTCTTAAACTGCTTTGTTTTTCAGCATAGCACATATCATTACCTAACATTTATTTATTGTCTGTCTCACTCCCCTGGAATGTAAGCACCTCAAGTTAATGTAAACAAGAATCTAAGAATTTCAGATGGTGATAACTGCTATGAAGAGAATAAAGTAGGGTAAAATAAGAGGGCAAAATAAGGTTAAAAAAAAAAAAAGAAGAGAAGATTCATCAATAAAGGTTCCTTTGAGGTGCTGACATGGAAACTAAGCCCTAGATGATAATGAGGCAGCAAGTGTGGATCTATGCAGAGAGGACAAGTGCAATGATCCTGAGCCAGTAACAGCATAGTACCTAGATGTACTTACTAATCCTCTACTACATTGCTCCTAGCATAGAGCAGGGTGGATCTTCATACATATAGGTTCAACTGAGCAGAGTTTGAGGCTCCATCTCTGCCTCAGGAGAGGTTTCAGTCAGATAAGACCTAGGCAAGACTTCCACACAATGCAAACCAAAGACTGCTTGACAGAGAGTCCATTCATGCTGGGAGCAGGTGAGACAGATTTGGCTGTAACTGTCCCTGACCTTAAGAGTTCACACTTGGTTCCAGAGGTGAAAAAGATAGTGGCATCTGGGTTGAGGAAGAATGCATTCCAGGATCCAAAAAGAGCCTAAAGACTTTTCAAAGTCAATTCCTGATGACTCTGGGAAGTAGTTCAGTTTGGCTGGCTCTGCAATTAGGAAACAAGGCTTTGGAAGCAGCTGCCATATTGAAAAGGTCATCTCTCGGGTAAAACTTGGAGAAGTTAATATTAGACCCTCAGCCTCAGTTTCCTCGTCTGTAAAATGAAAATAATGTCTGCCTCAAAGGATATGAATCAGATAAAGCTTACTACACCTAGAAGCCTTAGTAAAGAGAAGCAGCAGCTGTGAAGAGGATTGGAGAAACAACCTTTGAAGCTTGCTAAAGGAGTGCCAAGTGAATTTTAAAAGGAGCAAGCTCCGTGAGGACCCTAAGGCTCCACCAGCTCCCCAGAGGACGACTGGTGCGCAGAGACTGCTGGTCTCGAAAGGGAGGGCGTGAGTCCTGGTCGGCTCCCGGGAGGAGGCGGGACGAGGCACACGCAGGGCGGACAGGCAGGGCTGGAGCGGCGAGCCCCCCGTCCCCAACTCTTTACCCTCTTCCCCGTTTCGCCTAGCGTATCTCCTGAACCCGGAACCTGGGGCGCGCGGAACCACCTTGGTGTAGCGCGAGCGCCGCAGACCCGGAGGACGATGGAGGGGACGCGCGGGCCGGGGGCCGACTCTCCTGAAGAGGAGGAGACGGGGTCGGCCATGGCGGCTATGGTGATGGCTGCTGGTGGCGCGGGCCCAGCTGTCCTGCAGGTGGCCGGGCTCTACCGAGGCCTGTGCACGGTGCGGAGCCGCGCCCTGAGCCTTGGGTTCGTTTCACCCTCACAGCTGCGCGCTTTCCCTATGCGCCTCGGCTCAGGCCGGCCTTCTGGGGGCGCGGAGGGCAGTGAGGTCGGGGCCGAGCTCGAGGCCAACCCCTTCTACGACCGCTACCGAGACAAGATTCAGCAGCTGCGCAGGTGCGCCCCGGCCGGCTAGCGAGGGGGGGGGGGGATGGGGGGTGCTGGTACTTGGCCGTGGCCAGAGATTCCGCGCGTGGTGGGCACTAGTGCAGTCCCCACTGTGAAGATAGTGTATCGAGGGTTGGAGAGACTAGAGCACTGGCCTAAGATCTCACAGCTATTTAGTTTCTGAAAAGCCCTGGCTCTTTCCACAGTTGTCTTTATTTTTAGTTGTCAGAACGCTAAGGGGGACTTTTTGACAACCCTGTGAGTCAGATGAGAGAGATCTATTTTCATTGTAGAAATGGGAAAATGAAGCCTTCCAGAGAAGGGACTTTTTTTGCTCAAGGTCACATATTGAGTCAGCAGAGGCCTGGCCCAAAGTTTGGATTCCCAGGCTCCTCATTTAGGGCCCTAAACTGCATGGGAAGGAGGTTATGGGAGGGAGAAGTGCCACAAAGACCAGTGTTGTCACAGTTGTTTCATCTGTCAAACTCTCTCATGTTAAGGAAACTGAAGACCAGAGAGAGGAAGAAACTTACCAAAGGCTACCCAGCTGGTTGGAATTTGACTGAATCCAGGGTTCCCAACACTTTTATAGGGAAGGACCTAGAGATTAGAAGGGATTTGGGAAGCTAAGGAGCACAGAAGAGCCTGAAGAATTTGAAAGAAAGAGCCAGCTGAAAGAGACCAAAGGTGGAAAGACTTAGGAGAGACTTTGGCAGAGTAGTTTCCAACTCAGTCCATCTTGTTATGGCAGCCAAGCCAGGAAGCCTGCCTGGATCCCAGCTACCTGCATTTCACCACCTGCCTGCATAGGAAATAGGCAAACAATAGAAAAAGAAATTTTATGTAGTTTGTTTAAACCAGGGAAAAGTAGCTAGATTGCTTTCCACTGGTTCCACAGAAGCAGTTGCATTTGTAGAAACAAAAGCCTGGTGGTATAATATGTAGATTAATCTGTGCTTAGCCAGAGTATATGTCAGTCTTCCTTAGCCTCTGTCCTCAAGCATGAGGAGATTCAGGATGCAGAAAAGCAATGATCAGGAAGTTGCTTTTAATTTCAAAGGGGGTCTGTTTCGATCTCACTGCTATTATCTTGATCTTTCTCGATTTTTGAAACAACAATGGAATAAATGAATGGAGTGATTTTGCCCTCTGCATTTAGATATTTTCAAGTATTTGTCATTTCAGAAACTTTTCCCTGACCTACATTCCTTTCCAATTTTTTCTTTTATCCCTTAATGCACAAGCATCTGAAGAGTTGTCCACTCACATTCAGATGATACAAGCCTAACATCTCCCATTCATTCTTTTTTTTAAGTTTGTTTTTTTTTTGTTGTCGATGGACCTTTGTTTTATTCATTTATATGTGGTGCTAAGAATTGAACCCAGTGCCTCACTCATGCTAGGCAAGCACTCTGACACTGAGCTACAACCCCAGCCCACAGCTCCCACTCATTCTGAACTCATGAACAAATAATGGTTTTGCTCTCCTTCCCTACCAGATCATTCCATCAACATTTACACAGACTGTTATTTCCTGAAGAGTAAGCTTTCCAAGGTGCCACACTGACTTCACACCCTAATATCTGTTGTTCTCTTTAGCCTTATTTATTACCTAAAATTCCTTTGAGTACTATGGTCTAGCACTCATGCATACAATTGGAAGAGAGAAATGAGAAATTCCAGATAAGGGGGAGACTAACATAATCAAAAGTATAGAGCATGAAACCACCTCAGTCATTCGGGGATATTTGAACAAATTTTCATGACAATACCTGTAGCATTCTTATATACTTATTTACATGTCTGTCTCTCCCACTGGATAGTAAGCTCCTTGAGGTAGGGACTCTGTCTTATTTATTTCTCTATCCCTAAGGCCCAGGATGCCTCTCCTCTCTATGGGCTTACCATGACCCAGGTGTCTGTGGCCATTAGTAGGACTGACACAGTCCTTCCAGAGGTAAGGAAGAAGATCTGCCTATCTACATGTCAGTGAAGGGAGTGATATTTGATCTCACCTCCAGAAATGAATTTTATGGGAGAGGGGCTCCGTATAATGCCTTGACTGGGAAGGTCTACCGGGGGGTAGCCAAGATGTCCCTGGTTCCTATAGATTTCACCCATAACACTACAGTCCTTACAATCAAGGAGCTAGAGAGTCCCTGGATAATATCTTTGTCAAATATCCCACCATCAGACCCACAGCCTGAAGAATTCTTAACAAGGATGGCAGCCCAAAACTAGACTTCAAGCCTGAAGATCAGCCCCATTTTAACATAAAAGACAATTTCTCATATTCTATATGCAGGTTCTTTGGAAAACAGGTCAGGGAAACCCTCAGATGCTAAATCTTCTGCAAAATAGGATAATTGAGTTCTTTGAGTTACCCAGATCTGAATAAAACTGATGTTTAACCTGAGGAGATATCAAAGAACTAAATATGTTCAATAAAAGCTTAGACACTACATAGATGTGCTATAGGATTCCTTCCTGCGGAGATGACCCAGTAAAATGACCTCAAAATACACTTTCCATCCTGAGGATTCTTTGTCACTAGAGTGTCAATATCTTAGAGACCAGTCCCTGTATTTGCCTGGGAAGTAGCCTGCAGGAGAAAAAAAAAAAATGTTTTGCTAGCCCCTTAAGGATTAATAATAGTCACGTGGCTGGATTTGTTTTTCTACTTTCTTGACTTTCAGGCCTGTGCCCAGTCCAGACAAATACTTCAGCCTCTCTGAATTCCTGTGTCCTTTCTCTGTTGAGATGGAACACAATGCTTTATTATTTCAAAATCCAGAGCAACCCAGGTGGTTTATGTTGTTTTATCTTTGATCAGGTCTGACCCAGCTGCTTTTGAGTCTCGATTAGAGAAGCGCGGTGAGTTTCGAAAGCAGCCAGTGGGGCATTCACGACAAGGTGATTTTATCAAGTGTATGGAGAAGGTAAGACCTGCCCCTTTTTATGCTATTGGCTTACCAGTACCCCTCCCTATACCCTACAACCCTTACCCTTGAAGTGGGCTCCTTGATGGGTTAACTAGATAATCTGAACATAGCCTCTCTCTACTCAGTCTTCAACCATATATGTTTAACCTGCTGTTTCAGGGCAACATAGTGTGGTCATGGTGGAGATACAGAGGGATGAAAAAGATAGCTCCCTGCTCCCAGCACGAGCAGGCTAATGGTGAAGGCAAGGTGTAAACAACACTGGACTGAAGGAATCAGGGAAAATTTCTCAGGGAAGGTAGGACTTGATCCAGGATAGGAAGAGTTTGGGTGTGTTAGTCAGCTTTTCATCTCTGATAAAACACCTGAGAAAATCAACATAAAGTAAAAAATGTTTAATTTGATTCGTGGTTTCAGAAGTTTCAGTCCATGGTCTGCTGGCTCCAATGCTTTGGGCCTGAGGTGAGGCAAAATATCATGATGGAAGGGTATAGGAGAGGAAATGGCAGAAAGAAAGGAGCTGGAAACAAGATATAGTCCCCAGGAGCATGCCCCCAAGGTCTCATCTTCTATAGTTTCCACCACTTTGCAATAATGCCATCAGATTATGAATCCATCAATGAATTAATCCATTGATAAGATCAGAGTCCTCATGATCCAATCACTTCCCCAAAGCCCCAACTCTGGACATTACTGCAGTGGGGACCAAGGCTTTAATACGTGAGCCTTTGGAAGACATTTCAGATCCAAACCATAAGGCTAGAGGATTTGAATTAAGCCAAGAGGAGAAAGGGGAACTTTGAAATAGAACGGGGATCATTAAACATTTTCTGTAAAAGACCCAATAGTAAATATTTTAGGCTTGGTAGGCCATATGGTCTCTGTTGCAACTACTCAGTTCTGCTATTATACTACAAAAGCAGACAGTAAGTAAATGAATGAGTGTGTGGTTATGTTCTAGTCGAATTTTATTTATAGGACTGGGGGTGTAACTCAGTAGTAGAGAGCACTTGCCTAGCATGCATAAGACCTATATTCAATTCCCAGTGCCCCCCACCCCACCAAAAAACAAAAATTATTTACTAAAACAGTTGGCAAGCTGGATTTAGATTGCTGATGTCCAACTATTGCCCATTCATACTCCACTCCCACCCCTTGTTAAGGAACTAGGTTAAATAGAGGAAGACTTTTGAAAGTAAAGGATTTTAGGAAACAGTGAAGTATTTTGCCTCAGGTCAGTCCAGCAAGAGCTGTGTATCCAAAGGATGCCCCTAGCCTTGAGCAGAGAGAAATGTAAAGACTAAAGAAATAGGTTAGTCATTAACCTCCAAGTGAGGATTGGGTTTTGGAAGTGGAGATAGACAACTTACTTGGTAAGAGGATGGGCTCTGGAGCCAGATTTCAGGAACTGAATCTTAGCTCTTCTACCTACTATCTGGGTGACTCTCCAAGCAACTTATACAAGTTCTCCATGTCTCAGTTTGCTTCTCTGTGATAAAGGAATAATAACAGTACCTACCTTACAGAGTTGTGAGATATTATGCAAAACTTTTTAGCATAGTCCCTAGCACACAGTAAGTACTTAATATGTAATCCATAAGAAGTATTTAGTACATATTAGCCATTATTATCCTTAAACAAGGAATCAAAGCTGGCTGGAAAGTATGAGGAAAGCTGTATATAGGAAAATTAATCTAATGCAGTATTTTTCAACCTCTTTGACCATGACCTATAGTAAGAAATATATTTCCTGTAATAAATGTTTATAGTAGCAAGATTACCAGTCAGAAGCTCTTGGAAATATTACTGTATTGCAAACTTTCAATGTTATATAGGAAACCTCTTTGCACCTTTTTTTGTAAGCACACTTAAAAATTAACTATATAATGATAAGATACAGAATAAGTACTTAATTTTAATTATTGCAACTATTAGGTAAATATTCACTTACTATATATCTTCCTTATCTAGCTAGACAAAGGAAGGCTGATGGTAACCATATAATCAATTAGTATGACAAAAAAATTCTTCCCCAGACTCAAAAGTATCCATCTCAGGGAAAATGGGTGTTTTGTTTGTTTTGTTTTCATGGTATACCTGGGAATGAGTAGTAAGAACTACTCCTTTTTAGTATGCTTACATATGAAGAAGCAGCTACTTTAGGATGCCACTAATATATGACCAAAAGACAAGACTATATTTTTGTATAATGGATTTTTCTGCATTAGGTTTTTTTAAAAAAAATATTTCTAGTTATAGATGGACACAATACCTTTATTTATTTACTTACTTATTTATTTTTATGTGGTACCAAGGATTGATCCCAGGGCCTCACATGTGCTAGGCAAATGCTCTACCACTGAGCCATAATCCTAGCTCCTATACCAGATTTCTCTCTCTTTTGTGGGTCCAGGTTCTATATATATAATTTTTGAAAGGTTTGGATTCATTAAATCATAGAGTGACAAAAGCTAGGTCTTATGTAGAAAAAGTATTTTTTAGCTTCAAAATCCTATGTATAGGCTGTACTCCTTACCTTTGAAAGTCATAGTCTTAAACTTAGAGACTGAATAGAAGATTCAGAACTATCAGCCATCCACCAGCATTCCTATATCAACAACAACTCGAACTAGGATTTCTAGTGTATAGCTTCTGTCAAAGCTAGTAAGCCAGGAGATAAAATAATCACTTTCAGTTGTTTTTTGCCTTTTTGAGAGGGAGTCTAATTTAATGGAAAGACCGTTGAGACTGAGTACTCAACTTGCCTATCATGTATGAGGCCCCCAGGTTCAATTCCTACTACTAAAAAAAAGAAGGGAGAACTTGGGATATAGCTCAGTTGGTAGAGTGCCTGCTTCACATGCACAAGGCCCTGGGTTCAATCCCCAGCACCATGAAAAAGAAAAAGACTGAGTACTCAGAAAGACTCTAGTCTACTAAGGACACCTGCCATCGGAAATGAGAAGCAGTCTTAAAAAAATATCTTTATATTTTCATCTTTTCTGCAGCTCAGTGTGAAATAGTTGAAAGAGCCAATCACAGAAAACCCAAGCAGACCAAATTCTGCAAAGGAATCCCTCATATTCATAGTGGCAAGTATAGAATGAACTCTCAGTACTAGCTGATAATGGTTACTGACAAATCTTTTCTCATCTCTGCATCTCAAAGTCTTAGTCAGGGACAAGTTGTTTCATGAACAGGAACTCTTAGAGTAATGTGTACAGTTGTTATAAAGAGTGGAAAGAAGTGAGTTCTTAAGTGCAAAATTATTTAATGAGCTTGTGCACTTTAGCTAAATGGATTTCCTTTTTCCTATGAATAAAGCATAGATTGATATCCTGTCTCATCATGTATTTCAGACAGATACCTTGGGGAAACAGTCTATAAGCAGAGGATTCACTAAGGACAAGGTAGGTTTCTAATTAAATATAAAGATCCAAATCTAAAGTCATAGGAGACATTTTATATCAAGAGGCTAAAAAATTGAACATATTTACTGTGGTTAAGTGATTTTGTATAAGATGATTTTTCACCTAGAGATGAGAAATATTTCTATGAATTTTTGTATCCTTGACCCTAGTTCAAGTATAGGTTCTGGAGAAAATTTGAAGGAAACATAGTAACATCCTTCCTTTCTTTAGGAAGTAGTTTTAATAATCAAATAAAAACATATTTAGTCTGTCACTTAATTTGCACATAAGGAACCATCTCTGGTAAAAGAGCAGTTACATTAAAAATAACAGCCACCTTTCTCATTTTAACAGCTGCAAAGTTCTATAGAACTCATTGGTGAGAGTGAAGCATGAACATGGTGACCTAATAGATAGCCCCCAGGAAAAGAACTATGAAAAACTGTGTGGGCTGGGGACTCACTGTCTCTGAGCATATATAGATTTTCATATACTTTTTCTATACTTATTGAATCTCTGTTTCTATGTGCCAATAGGTTGTTTCCTACAAGAATTCCTACAGAATCAAGCTGTGGGGAGGGGGGTTTATTATTATTGTTTTTATTGTAGGAGTTAATTGCTTTTTATTTTCTCTTTCAAGACTCTCAGTTCAATCTTAAACATTGAGATGGTGAAAGACAAAACTGCAGAAGAAATAAAACAGGTAATGAATGAAAATGAATTGGCATACTCCATGAAAATGTGTTCTGTGAACCAAATCTGAGAGTAGAAAGAGCATACATTTTCTGATACCTCTTTTTAGTCAAAATGAAAAAGTAGTTATATGAGGCAAAAGTGATGAATTACATGAACAGTGGCATAAACTTGTCTTTCTTGGTCTTGCTCTCATATAACTAACCAACTTGTATTTTCCCTTTTTCATTCCTGTTGCCTACATCTAATTTAAAACCAAAAATACCCTATACCTGGATTACTATATTATCTTTCCAGTAGGTTTCCTGTTCCCATTTCTCCCCCCTCTACATATCATATTCTCACCAGCTGAGTCCTGCTTGCCTTATAGGGAAGCATAGCATACTGGTTAAAACATAGATTGCCAGTTTTAAGTCCTAGCTTGACCACCTCCTAATTGTCTGACATGGACAAGTTAGTTACCTTTTTGAGTCTTAGTTTCTCTATTTTAAAGCAGAGATAACAGTACATACATTCAAAGAGTTGAGAATTAAATGAATTAATATTTATAAAGTACTTAGAACAATGCCTAGTACTGAGTAAGGGCTATAGTTCTTAAATGAATAAAAATATTATGTTGGGAACCTGCTTACAGATGTTAAGTAACTTCTCATTTCTTTTTGTTTCTTTTTTTTTTTTTTTGACATTCATAATCTTCCATGATTCCAGAACCTTCTGCAAGAAACTTCTTGAACTCCTTCCTTCAAACACTCCTCATCTATCCTGCCTATTTGGTCATTGTATATGCCTTGATTTTCATTGCCAGTTACCTTTTTATGTCTGGTTCTTTTCTAATGAGACTATAGAAAAAGCTATTTTTTGGCATTTCTTGAATTTCATTTTAGGTATATGTACTATTTATCAAAATAATAATAAAAGTAACATATCTGTCAGGTATTATCCCTAGTGCTTCATATGCATTATTTAATTAAATTTTTATGACCACTCTGTGAAGAAGGTGTTGTCAGTCTCAATTTATAGTTGAGGGAGCTGGAACTCAAATCCATGTCTGTTTGACTTTGCATCATATTCACTTAGAGTTGTAATGCATTTCCTTTGGATGTTATATCATTTATTTTACCAAGGAGTGCAAGTGGAACATGGGATTGGAGCTAGAATCTACATCCATGTCCTCCTGACTCCAGATCCTGTACCAAACAAAATTTCCTATTCTCAATAAGTTTAGTGGAGGGACAAACATAAAAACAAATAAAACCAGCACAAGATTCAGTTTCTGTTAATAGAGACGTATGCAAAGTCTCAGGGGGACATCAGGCTATGACTTTGGGAAGGAGTGCCAGTGGAACTTGGGCACCATACATGTCACTTCGGAGCAAGAAAACCAGGTCTAGGAGGCCTGATCATAGAGTTATCATTTAGACCTATAAATGTAAATACAAATTTGTGTTCATTGAAATAATTTTTGAGTAGTGAAGGCCAGCCAAGTTAGGAAATATCTATTAGTTTAATAAATTTCAGTGTTCATTCATAAACTTTGCTAATATCATAAATTAAATCAAAATGATCAGAATATGCTATCCTTAAATTAAGAAGTCTGGCCTGGGGATATAGCTCAGTTGGTAGAGTGCTTGCCTTACATGCACAAAGCCCTGGGTTCAATCCCAAGCACCAAAAAAAAAAAAAAGAGAGAGAGAGAGAGAGAAAGAAGAAAGAAAAGGCAATGTTAGGCTGCATTAGTTGAGTGGTTTGCTTAGGTTCTAGGAAGTAGTGGGGTTTTTTGTGCTCTATATTTTGGTAAGCTAGATCACACTTTGATTAGTATCTTCAGTTGGGACTTGTGTGTGTGTATGTGTTTGTGTGTGTTTATGTGGTGCCAGGGATCAAACCCAGGGCCTTGCACATGCTAGGTAAGTACTTTACCACTGAGCCATCGTTCTGGGGCCATATATTTTATGGGAATATTGACAGAGCAGAGCAATTTTAGGAAAGGATGACCCATTCTTCAACATGTGCTCACTCAGAGGTCTCCTTGGTTCTGATGCCCTTCTTGACTTCTGTGCCCTGGTTAATGTTGTCATTTTGTGTATAGAATGTGTCTGTTATCTCCTCCTGCCTTATTTCATTTCATCTGATTGAAATGACCAAGTGAGACTACGTGGAAAAACGTAGTTGTTCTCAGCTTCAGAGAACAGGAAAGATTGGGGGGTCAGAGATAGAGAGGAAGGCTTTTCCAGTGAGAGCCAATAACATAAAAAGCTGGAAAACAATAAAAATAATAGTAATGAAAAATATAAACACAGAGCATGTATGTGATATAGAGGGGATTAAAAAAAACAAAGACAGTATTGCATATATATTATATCTATTTATATTATAACAGAAAAAATATTCTTAAGATATGCTAGAAACATATATCAAAAATAACAATAGTGATTCTTTTCTGGTAGTAAGACTATGGGCATATTTTTCTTTTCCTTATTTTCTAATTTTGTAATTTCATTATATAAATTTGTATTCCCTACACTTTGGTATTTGCATCATGAGAGTCAGCTTCTGTCTTATCTATACCAAAGTCACCTAGAAAATTTGATCTCTTCCTTATATGAAAGACTTTCAGGAAGTAGGAAGCTGCCTATAACATGGCAAAATTAGCTAATAAAGGCTAGCATTACTTTTAGTGTTTACTTTGTGCGAAGCACAAACCTGTATTAGTTCAGCTAGTCTTCACAACAATCCTGTGAGGTTGATATTATTGCTATTTTATTGATGTTATTTAGGGAGTTTCAGTGATTTACCCAAGGTAGCACAGCTAGTAAATGATTGGAACTGGAATCTACATCCATGTCCTCCTGACTCCAGATCCTGTACTCTGAATAACTGATGTTCTGGCTATCAGTAACAGGCCCACAGTTGTCTGGAGAGATGAGGATTTGGGGAGGAAAGAAAGAAGATACCAAAAAAAAAAAAAAAAAAGGATCTCAAAAGAGGATCACAAGGCACATCTTGAAAGGAGTGATTTCAAAGGTCATAGAATCTATTTCTCTGGCAGAATTTGTTAGTAAGAATTAGAATTTAATCATTTAGAGGAGTGTGTGGCATTAAATCATCTTTGTAATTATATATTAGTTATAAAAGCACTATAGTGGGTTTTTCCTCTTTGCTATTAAGTAGAATATTATTCTGAGCAAATGAAAATTATCACCATTTCTTGGCATAGGTTGAAAAGATTACCCACATATCACAAATTTACCCCTTTTTTTCTATACAGATTTGGCAGCAGTATTTTGCAGCAAAAGATACAGTCTATGCAGTTATTCCTGTAAGTAGTTTGGACGGGAAATGAAAGTGTTACAGTATGAAGGTCAGTGCTCTAACCTTAGCCGGCAGTTGCCTTAACTTTTCTTGTGTTTATGGCCTCTTGAGAACTTGGATTTTACAGCTCTGAGGGTTTTTATTATGCCTTAAGCGCCAAAGATTGGAAGCTCCATATGGTATATTTATGGCTTTTGTTTTCCCTCTTTCTGGTTTAGAAATGTCTCTGAGTTAAGTCTCTGACAAGGGAGCATGGTATAAGTTCATGTTGCTGAGTAATTTCCAGATGTCTTTTATTTCTTTTTGATGTTTTCAACCCGGCTGTTGGAATTTAAGACATAGCCTCTAGCATAGCTTTCTTCACTTCTTATCTATAAATAACATACCCAAGTTGACTTGGAGCTTCCTCCTAGTCTTTCTGTGGCATTTTCCCTTAGCAAATAGCATTTTCTTGGTTTTTTCCCTCTTGAAATTTCTGTCTTAGAGATTGTCACTGGCTTGACCATTAAGGTCTGTGACTGGAAAGGGATGCTGTTGGCTTCTCTAGTTTAATGCCCTTCTGCTGACAGGAAAACATTTTAAATACTGGGTTATCAGCTAGTTCTTCAATGTTCTTTTTCTTCTCTGAAGAGGAAGTGGCTTAGATTAAGCTTAATTATATCACGCATAAAATATATACTTGCTTACACGAATAAGTGTAAGAATAAGGAAGAAAACAGATAGAAGGATAAAGCCAGACCTTTTGGTTGTTATGTATGAGGGTATCACTATCAGTTTTTGCTTTGTTCTATTTTTTAGCCTCATATACATATACAGCTATACCCTTCATGAGTTCAACAGTCAAAACAATCTGTACTTTTCATTATATTTTAGATTTCTTATACCAAGTTAGTGTTTGAGCAAACCTTCTCAGCTCTCCCTTGGACTGACTTAGTGAGTTCCCTGGAGAGTTGAAGCATTATTTTCACTCTTAATTCTGATAATGAACAGCAAAGCACACATCTGACTTCTCTTGTCTTTCTGTTACAAGAGTGATTTATAAATTATGAAACTTAAAAGATTGTTTTAGTTGTTGATAGTTCTAGAATCCAATCTTGGTGAATTTAATTGTGACTGTGGTCTTTTGTGTTTCCCTGTTTGTGAACTAATTTACTCTTTTCTGACTTACAGAAAGAGAAGTTTGATTTGATCTGGAACCGGGCGCAGTCCTGTCCAACAGTAAGTTTTTGGTGACCACGTAAGGATTGCTTAGCAGTACTGCCAAGAAAGGTGTTTTCCAACCCATTCCATCATATTCCATACTCTCACTTGTTATGGTGTACTGTTTATTTAACAAAGATGCCCACATATTAATTGTACTGATAAGTGATATTTATAGCCTTACAAAATAATGTGGGTTTTACCCAATAAGCCATGGGATTTTTAGCTCTCTGCCACATATCAGGCCTTTCTGATGTTGGTCTTCATCTATTAGGGTAAGTGCAAGGTACCTGAGACCTTGATCTTTGCAACCTCTCTCAAGTTCCTAATTTACTGGCAATTTTCTTTGTAGTTTTGGCCATGCTATTCTGGTAATATGTGCCTATTTTTGAGGTTGTTGCTAAAATAATGAGCTTTCAGAAGGTTCCAGGGAAAGAGAATGGGTAGCTGACTTTACAGCTGGGCTACTATTGGTAATAATTTCTAGGATTTTTCAATTTTTTTTCCAAACATTGCTGACAAAAAATAAAGAATTATTTAAAGCTGGAGATATAGCTCAGTTGGTAGAGTGCTTGCCTTAATCCCCAGCACCACACATACACACAAAAAAAATCTAAGTAAAAGGAGAGATATGTCATGTTCTTGGATTGGATGACTCAATATTGTTAAGATGTCAGTTCTCTCCAAATTGATCTCTAGGTTAAATACAATTCCAGTCAAAATCTCAATAGGCTTTGGTATAGTACTAAAAACAGTATAGAGCTGGGCATAGTGGCACATGCTTATAATCTCAGTGACTTGGGAGGCTGAGGCAAAATAATTGCAAGTTTGAGACTAGCCTGAACAACTTAGCGAGGCCCTAAGCAACTTAGAACCTGTCTCGAAATAAAAAATTAAAAAGGGCTGGGGATGTGGCTCTGGTAAAACACCACTGGGTTTAATCCTCAGTACCAAAAAAATTGTAGTATTAGCATAAATAGACATAGAAATCAGTGGAACAGGATAGAGTCCAGAAATAGACCAATTTATTTCAGGTTAGTTGTTTTTCAAGAAAAATGGCAGAATAATTAAATAGGAAAAGGATGGTTTCAACAAAGGTGCTAAAATGATTGGATAGCCATATGAAAAGAAAATGAACCTCTACTGTTATCTCATACTACATAAAAGTTGATTCAAAATAGGTTGTAGACATAAATAAAAACTAATGGAAGAAAAATAAAAGAGGAAGTCATAGGTTTAGTTGAGCAGAGATTTCTTAATTATGCCATGAAAAGCACAAACTACAAAAGAAAACAAATCATTAGATTAGGTTTCATCAAAAGTAAAATATTTGTACACTTGTACACTTATATTCTTAACAGCACTTATCAAAATAATAAAATGGTGGAAGCAACCCAAGTTATGTTAAAAACTCTTATTACAATAATAAAGAGGACAGACAATGCAATTAAAAAAATGGACAAGAGATTTGAATAGATGTTTTACCTAAGGAGTGAAGTGACAGATAAGCAGCTGAAAAGATGCTTATTAGTTCTCATTGAATTCTCATTAGTTATTATGAGAATGCAAATTAAAACCTTAATAAGATACCACTAGAATAATTGAAATTAAAAAGACTGATGATGCCAAGTGTTGGTGAAGATACGGAACAACTGGAACTCTCATATACTGCTATTGATTGTATAAAATGGTACAACCATGTTAGAAAATAATTTCTTTAAGTGTAAGCCCACACCTACCATATTAACTAGACATTCTATTCCTAGATATTTTTCCGAAAAAACTAAAAGCAGTCATATACTGACCTATTCATGAATGTTCAAATAGCTCAGTTCATAATAACTAAATAATAGAAATAATCCAAATGTGAGTCACAAGTGCATAGAAATATGAGGGGGGAGAGAGAAAAAACATACATCTGCACCTATACACACAATAATCTTCAGCAATAAAAATGAATGAATACATAGAACAGCATGGATAGATCACAAAACAATAATGCTGAGTGAAAGAAGCCAACCTTCCCTGATAAAGGACATATTCCATGCTACCATTTATACAAATTCTAAAATATAGACTGATCTAAAGTCACAGAAAGCAAATCAGTGATTGCATAGGGACAGTAGGGGATGGGGAGGTATGAATTACAAAAGGATACAGAAAAACTTTTAGAGACCATAGACATGTTCATTAAGTTGATTATAGTAATGGTTTCACAGTATGCAAGTAATAGAACAAATCAAATTTTAATACAAATATTAAATGTATAATATGTGCTTCAAATGTATATAATTTATTATACTTCAAATATGCCTAAATAAAACTCCATAAGCTTATTTCCCCCTAATAAAGAATATCAAATAGCCACCAAGGTTGTCTCAGATATTTAATAGTAATGAATCAGAGCCTGAGTAGTTGCCAGTAAGAAAACAACTCTGTGACTAGTATCTATTGGACTTTATTTTATTCTGGCACCATTCTCTACTGCTCATCTTCAATTCTAAGCATCCTGGGCATAAAACTAATAATTTCTTGGTATTTAATCTAAAGTCATGTGCCAGTATTATTAAATGATTTTATAGCAATTCGAACAAGTTATTTCAATACCATTAGTAAACTTAGAAATTGAAAAAGACCCAAATGTTCATTAAGAAAAAAATAGATGAATAAATCGTGAAAAATGTTTGTAGTAGAATTGCATACAATAGTGAAAAATTAAAGGATTATATTTATCAACATATATTAGTCTCAGAAGCCTAATATGAATTCAAGAAAGGAAGTTATGGGTTGTGGCTCAGTGGTACAGCACTTGCCTAGCATGTGTGAGGCACTGGGTTCAATTCTCAGTATCACATATAAATAAATTAATAAAATAAAGGTCCATCAGTGTCTTATAAAAAAAAAAGCAAGTTATAAGAGGATATATACAGTTTGATAAGATTTAAAGTTTTTGAATGCTCAAATAGTATATTTTGCTTATAGATTTACACATATGTATTAAAAATATAAAAACAGAAGGGAATGATAGATAGATACAGGACTGAATGTAAACTCTAGAATGGGATTGGAATGGCATGCAAAGGGATCCTCAAATTATATCTCTAATGCTTTATTTCTTAAGTGAGCTGAAAAGTGTTATATTGTCATATGAATTTCATAATTCTAAAATGTTTTAAAAAACAAGTATTGATAAAAATGGGGTAATAGATGCAAGTGGATGGACCTAGAGCAAATGGCTTCTTTTATTTAATTGTCTCCTTGTGTATTTTTTTCCCAGTTTCTGTGTGCACTACCAAGAAGGGAAGGTTATGAGTTCTTTGTAGGACAATGGACAGGTACTGAACTCCACTTCACTGCACTTATAAATATTCAGGTAGGTGGCTTGTGCCCTACCAAGCAAAAGGGTAGGAAGAAAGGCCTGCTCGTTGTTGGGACTAGAAGCCCTTTCTGAGGTTTGGGGCACAGAATATTTATTAACTCCCAGCATTATTTGTTATGGCACTGCTGAACTATCATACTTTGAATGTTGGGCTATTTTTCTAGGCTCCACTTAATGTCAAGAAATTAGAGAAAAGACCTTAGATTACTTTTTCTTACTATATCTGGCTCTCTTTTGTCTTTTCCCCAGACCTCAATAGCTCTTACTGCATGTGCCCCACTTAACAAATATGGCTAAGTTAGGATGTTATCTTTTTAATCCAAGCTATAAGCCCACTGAGGAAGGTTCTGTGTCTTTTGTATTTTGTATTAACCAAGTCAGCACCTTCTGAGGTGCTAGATTAATATTTTCCATTTAATGAATGTCATTTTGTTTGCTTCCTTTTTTTGTTTATTCCCAAACATTAGATTCAAAGCATTTGAATCTTTTAAACAAAAGTCGATATTTTGCTGAGCAAGGTAGCTCACAGATACTTCCTAGTGAAATTATGATGTTCTCATACTTTTTCCCTCCTCCCTTCCCTAACCAGATTATATTTTAAAACTGTACACTACAAATCTGGACTATATCTCTAGCTTTTGTTGCAGCTTACTCCATCTTCAGAGACAGCCAAGGAGAGTAGATTTTAGCTATGAAATGAACTAGTCCATAAAAGTGAGAATTACACAGGCATATTGCTTTCTTTAGAACTTTTGGTAGCTGCTTGTGCCATTTTGGTTTTAAATGTATAGTCACAATGAAGGATTCACTGCCTTCTATAAACATTTTCTGGGAAAAAAGCCAAATCTTTTCCAATTGAAGACACAAATAACATCCTGCAAACTGTCAGTTTCACTGTGCCTTTGTAAGTCTGACCTTGCCCCCACATACCAGTCGTCCAACTCACTAGCCACCCAAGGGGCTTTTAAGAACCAGAATTTCCTCCAGACTCTCTATTGCTTTGAAATTGCAGTTTGTTGTGGTGGTACCTTATTGAGCTTGATAAGTATTCTTCTTGCAGACCCGGGGGGACACTGCAGCCAGCCAACTGATTTTATATCACTACCCTGAACTTAAGGAAGAAAAGGGCCTAGTACTGATGACAGCAGAAATGGATTCCACTTTTCTGGTAAGAATCAACATTTACCTCTTTGAATTTACTTAGTGGTTCTGAAGGTGTTACTCTTCTGTGAAAGTTCATGAGAGGTAAAATTCTAGAGACCTAAAGGTAATAGGTACAGATAATGTGGAACTATGGATTATACAACTCCCCACAGAAAACACTCTTAGTATTTCCCTAATTTGTTTCTTATTTACAAAGTTGAAAATAATTTGATCTTGCTCACACTTTTGCTATTTGAAGCTACAACACATCCTCAATCATCTTTTCACAACTCTGAAATCCATAGGCTCTGAAAATAATTTTCCTTTTTTTAAAATATTTATTTTTTAGTGATAGGTGGACACAATATCTTTATTTTATTTTTATGTGGTGCTGAGGATCGAACCGGGTGCTTCACGCATGGTAGGCGAGTGCTCTACCTCTAAGCCACAGCCCCAGCCCCTGAAAATCATTTCCTAATACTCATTTGGTCACAAACCTTACTTGACCTTCCCAGCAGCTTGGGACACTGAGGCAGGAGGGTTGTGAGTTCAAAGCCAGCCTCAGCAACTTAGTGAGGCCCTAAGCAACGTAGCGAGACCTTGTCTCTAAATAAAATATAAATAAGGGCTGGGGATGTGGCTTGGTGGTTAAGTACTCCTTGGTTCAATCCCTGATACCAAAATAAACAAACTATACTCGGCTTAAATTCATTTGGGAGGTAAATGTTCATTTAAACTGAGATGAGGCCATTTATAGTCCTATTAGTCCCACTTGACATAGAATATTACACATTTTATTAGGGAAATACTAAGTGTATTTTCTGTGGGGAGTTGTATAATCCATATTTCCATATTATCTGTACCTATTACCTTTATAAAGTAATTCTGAATCCAAGACACATCTGACCGTAAGAATTTCAGGTAAGAGATATGGTGGACAAATAAATGGCTTCCTGAAGTGTAGAGAAGAGCTGAAAGTCTAGAATAGTTCTCTCTTTTATCTTCCTCTACACTTCTCACATATGTAACCTTCATTATATACATGATTTCCTTTTCCACTTGGAATCACCAGGATAGAGCACTGACTACGTTCATGCTCACAGCTAGTAATGTCCATTGTGTTCTCACTGCACAATACAAGAAGTAGTTTTATGATTACTATACAACTTCTTTGTCTAGTTCTTGCTCATTTCAATCTCAGTATCTGACAGAAATAGTTCAGGGTGTCCTCAATATAGTGACACTTTAGAGCCTCTTTACCCTGAGATTCTTCATTACAACATTCACTTATTTTCCCTGTCTCTCTTTCTCTTAGCAGATGCATAGTGAGAAGGACAGTGTTATTCAGCTAATATATCACAGTAGCATTAATTAATTCCCTGATTTTTATTCATAACACTGTCCAGTTCCATTTTTCCCATTCTTCCTTCCTCATAAATCTTCTGCACATCATACTCAACTGGAAGGCACCTAAAATCCTTTCTAGAAATGCAGATTTGCCATTAACTGAGATAGACAAGATTTCAGAAGTAATAGGTTTGGAAGAAAAATCAGGAGCTCACTTCTAGACATGTTGAATCTGAGATACCTATTAGATCTCCAAGTAGTAGGCAGTTAGATATATGAGTATGATATTCAGGGGAGAGGTTCAGGCTACAGATACAAATATGGGATTGTCAACACACAAATTGTACTTAAAGCCACAAGACTGAATGAAATCACCAAAGAAATAAGTGAAGATAGAGAAGAAGTCTAACAACTTGAGTCCTGGAGAGATGAAGAAGTATCAGCAAAGAAGATTAAGAAGGAACAGTTGTGAGGCAGAAGGAAAATTAAGATGGTAGAATGCTATAAAAGCCAAGAGAAAAATGTTTCAAGCCATAGGGATTGCATAATTGGCCAAATCTCACTTGCTTATAGGACAAATGAGATGAGGACTGAGAATTTATTAGATTTAACAAATATGGAGATTTGGGGGAACATTTATGAGAGCAGTTTCAAAGGAATGGTATAATGATACAAGCATGATTGGAATAGATTTAAGAGAGGATGGGAAGAGAAATTAGAAAGAGAAAACATTAATAACTCTTAAGCGAAGGAAAGAGTGGAGCACTAGCTAGAGGAAGAGAAGTGGGAATGTATTTTGTTCTGAATATGGGATAAATAACATTTATATGCTAATGGAAAACATCCAATAGAGAGGGGAATATTGATAATACAAGGCAAAGAGGGAAAGAGTGATATTTTTGAGTGGACAAGTCTGAGAATGAGGGTTTGATTCTTGCCAGAAGCATATTAACAGAGAGAAGTCAGGGTATAAGGACACAGAGTTAAATGGATAGAGATAATAGTAGCTTATAGAAGTGCTTGCCCCATTGCTCAGAGAAAAGAAAGCCCATCACTGAGAGTAAGCATGGAAAAATAGATGTTAGACATTTGAGTCAAAAAGAGAAAGTATGAAATTGTCTAGGATTGATCAGCAAGTTACAGACTGTGGACTATATCCAACCCACAGGCTGTTTTCATAAGGCCCATGAGTTACTAATGTTTTCTACATCTTTAATTAGGTTAAAGAGAGAGAGAGAGAGAAATTTCATTATATGTGAAAAGCATATGAAATTCAAATTTTAACATCCATAAATAGAAGTTTTATTGCAACATAGCCACGTACATTCGTTTACATACTATCTTTGGCTGCTTTTGTTCTACAGCAGAATAGAATAGTTAAAGATTCTATGATGTACAGAGTCTAAAATATATACTATTCATGGAAGTGTTTGCCTGCCCATGGTATGACAGCATAATAAGAAGAGTGAATTTTTGTATAGGTAGGGCACAGAGATAAAGTTGAATTTAACTAGGGGTATGGTTTGACCAAGTAGTATAATAAGTGATTGAGGGGTCAGGAAGTTAAAGATAGATGCAAAGGAATGATTATAATTATTGACCAAGGAATGAAAGCTGAGTAAAGGGGAAGTGAATAGATAAGGAAAGTTTGAAACAGTGAGAATTGTGGGGTTATAGATTGTTGGAGTTGGGAGTGAATTAGAAAAATAGGAAATAGTAGACAAAGTGCATATGTTTCACATTGAGATTTGGAGGGAATACAGTTACCTATAATGACAAAGTTTGATTTGACCATGGAAATGTGATAGAGTGTGCTATATTTTCTGGTCTTCAGTAAAAGCACAGCATTTGATTATATTTAAAGAGGATTCTAGAGGTCAGAGGAGGCCTTTTCTGCATTGTTCCTTTTTTCCATTGTTCCATACCACCTCATTCTGGTGGTCTCAAACTGCTACACAGTTCTTATCACCATGAAATTTGTTTCTTGACCTTATAATATTTGACAACATACCAGGAAACATTCATTGCCTTGTATAAATGACTATGAGGCTCCAGTATAGTACAGAACTAGATGCATTAGAATTTATTGTAAAGTTACATGATATAGAGAAGGGAAACCTAGAAATGTAATATGCATGTATGGTCCCATATATACTGGAACATGAAAAGTGCACCTTAGGTACAGCATTTCCAAGTATAGTAAAGCATTAATCTCAGATGAATAGAAATATGTAAAAACTAGAGGTTTCTTCTGAAGTGACCTTCATGCTAAAAAGTTAGTAATATATTTTAAAAACATAACCTTGTTTGACTCCACATCTGTATCATTAGATGATTTTATTGGAATGCAGTTGGTGCTATATAGGGTTCAGAAGTGGGGTCAGGGATGGGGCAATGTGCCTAGCCCAAAGTGAGAAAGCTTCCTAGAGGAGGGACAGGGAAAGGGAGGTGTTACCAACTGAGAAAATAACATAAGTAAATGTTAATATACATATATTATGTATGTATGTATGTATGTATATGTATCCCAAGCCATTTGGGATACATATACATACATACATACATACATAATATGTATATATTTATATATATATATATATATATATATATATATATATAAAATACATATTTTTTAAGGAGGTTTGTAGGACTGTATTTAGAAGTTTGGCCTTATCCTAAAGGCATGAAAAGAGTTATTAAAGGGTTTAATATAGAGTAACCGATGAAGAGTTAGGTTTTAAGACCACTAACCTTAATTATTTGCTTCCTAAACATTCTGCAGTTCTAGTTAGTCAGTGTGATCATTTAGAAGACATTTGGAATAGTCTGGGCCAGAGATAGTGCAGATCTGAACTAGAGCAGTACTAGTAAAGGTGGAAGAGAGAAAAAGACTGCAGAAATGGAGAGGGAAAAATATGGGCAGGACTTGGTACTTTGATTGTAAATATGTATTGTGTTAGTCAGCCTTTTGTTGCTGTGATCAGAATACCTAACAAGGATAATTTAGAGGAGGAAAATTTTATTTTAGCTGACAGTTTCAGAGGATTCAGTCATGTTTAGCCAACTCCATTCCTTTGAGCCTGAAGTAAAGCAGAAGATCATGGCAGTTGGGAAGCAGAAAGAGAGAACAAGGAGCCAGGAACAAGATATAGTCCCCAGAGGCACAACCTTCAATGATCTGCTTCTTCCAGCCACACCCCACCTGACTACATTTACCACCTAGTAGTCCATTGAAATTATTAATCCACCAAATGGATTAATCCACTGATGAGCTTACATCTCTCATAATCCAATCTTTTCATAAAAGCCCTATCTCTGAACCTTACTGCATTGGGAACCAGACTTTCAAAACATGAATTTTTTTAGAAGGACAATTCCAGATCCAAATCATAACAGATACAAAAAAAATTGAAAGAGAAAAAAAATCAAGTCTGTTAATAATACCTTCTTATTGAGCATCACAAGGAGTTAGTATATTTATCTTTGTGGGTGTTGGAAAGGGAAGAAACCCCAATGTTTTATGTTGAAAATCAAGAGAATAAAAGGCTGAGTGAATAAGGAGTAAGGGATGCTTTCCATAACCCTCCAGGAGAGAAAGAGAGGTGTCTACCTCTCTCCCTATAACCTACCTCCCTATACACCATTTAAACTTTTTTTTAAAGTGGCGGGAGGAACCCTTTATCCAAACAAAATCTTATGTAAAATCCCAGGAAATAACAGCTAAAACTGAGAGGAAGGGACCTGAGGCACCTCCACAGAATCCTTAAGATTCTACAGAATATTTTGGATAGCACTGTTCTAGAATGAACACAGCTAAATTTGCCCCTGCCTTCACCATCCCACCTCAAATAAAAGATTGATATCAGAATTCCTACCACTCTGGGGCTCAGAAAATGGTAGTAACTGCCTCATGTGGCAGCGCATTTACTTTAGGGTTTGCATCTGATGCACGTTTGAATTTAAGAAAGGTAAATTGATGAAGTAAAGTTAGTGGCCTCTATCATAATCTTAATTATCAGAAACGTAGTGGAGTGAAATGTAGGGAAATGTATTGAAATGATATGGAAGGATTATTGCTATTAAGACATAAGAGATTATAGCTCTGTCTTGGATCACTCACCCTTGGGTATTATTCAATTCTGCCACTGGCCAACTACATGACCTTGGCCTTGTCCCTGAACCCCATCTACTTTGGTTTCCTGGCCTATTAAATGAGAACTGGATGATCTCTGAGGCTCCTTCCAACTTTAAAATTCTATTAATTTTACATAGCTAGGTTTTTGGGAAAAGGATTTTGATTGAAGATCCAGTCTCAGAGATTAATGCCTAATGAGAAATTACCTAAAAGTCCCAGGGAGGGAATAGAGGTGAAGCACAGCCTACAGTATTTATAAACTCATCTTCATCATTCAGTAGCTAGACACATCACACTTTGAACAGTCAGTTTTTATGGGAATTTTCCAGTATCTTTTGGGGCTTGATTTTGGCCGTATGAACATCATGATGATAAATAAGTGCCTCTGGTGAACTAGAACTGCAGAATGTGTAGAAATAAAAGTCAGAATCATTTGAGGTAATTCTTTTGTGAGGTTTTGAGGGTGTGGCCCTTGCCCCACAGTCCTGTGCTCACTGTGTCCCTGCTCTGCCTTTAGAGAAAATAACCTTTTCTTTTTCTGGGGTTTTGCTGGTAGATTGGTTATAAATGGCTACATAACAAATTACTTCAAAACTTAGTGGCTTAAAACAGCAAACCTTTATTGCCTCATAGTTCTTTAGGGCAGGAATTCAGGAGCAGCTTCGCAGGGTAATTCTGGCTCAAAGTCTCATGAGGTTAGGATGTTGGCTAGGACTGTAGTCATCAAAGGCAGATTGAACTTAAGGATTGATTCACTTCTGGCCCCACTCACATGGCTGTTGGCAGAAACCTTGTTCCTTACCACATTGGGTTCTCCATAGGGCTACTTGAATGTCCTTATGGTAGCTGGCTTTCCCAAGGGTGAGTGAACCAAGACAGAGCTATAATCTCTTATGTCTTAATAGCAATAATCCTTCCATATCATTTCATCTTAGTCTGTTTGTTAGCAGCAAGTCACTGAGTGCACCCTCCCTTAATGAAATGCTCCACCAAAGGGAGAAGTATCTTACAATTTGTGGACACATTTTATTTGAAACTATCACAACTAGCTTTCGCATTATTTTTCACACTGAGGTGGTATCAGTAACAGATTTTATTCAAGTATAAGTCTGGTTAGTCAAGAACTTAGTACTTACAAAGTAGTTCTCAGACCTGGGTAATCCTTGCTCTTTTTTTCCCTTGTAGTTATATTTAACAGTTATTTAGAAATTGAATGTAGAAGGAAATTGTGAACATATGCATTAGTTTATTCAGCAAACATTCACCAGATGTCACTGTGTGCAGAAATATAAAACAAGTCCTGGTCTATATCTTAGAGGAATTTGTATTAGGCAAGACAGAAAGAGCGGGGAAAAGGACAAATATAATACAGTGTGATAAATACTTTTATAGTAATAAACATAGGACGATTTGGTTTTATGGAGTAGGAACACCTAACCAAGGCTTGGGAAATCAGAGTTAGAGCTTTCGGAAGCAGTGATTCCTAAGAGCTCCCAACTACCACAGAACTCAGACTCAGAGTTTTGTGGCCCTGTACAAGGAGAGACCTTATAATTCTTTTTACCTTTCAGAATGTTGCTGAGGCACAGTGCATCGCCAACCAAGTCCAGCTCTTCTATGGCACTGATCGGAAAGAGACCTATGGTTTAGTGGAGACCTTTAACCTCAGACCAAATGAATTCAAATATATGTCTGTCATCGCTGAATTGGAGCAAAGTGGACTTGGAGCAGAACTGAAATGTACCCAGAACCAGGATAAGACTTAAGAGTTGTAAAGTTTGACCCTTCATAGAGCAGCTCAGCCCTGGATAATCTAGAGCCCACCCACCCCCTTGAACTTAGGAGTTCAGCATCTAATGAGGAGTCTATCTTGAGTTGCTCTATGTGCTTATTGCAAAACGGGATTGTGGAGATGAGCCCTAATACTTGATATTCAGGAACAGAGGTACCCAAATGTTCTGATAATTACCTCAGCACACTTGAGGTTTCCTTTTTAAGTATTTCTGGTCATAAAAAGAGACAGCCAGGAAGCTGCAGAATGGTTGACTTGATTTTACATAGTATTACACTGCAGTTGCTCATTTCTCCCAGTTATGCATCTTTGTGAACTTGTGCCATGATGATAAACTTGAAGATCTGTAGTTAGATATGGGCTTTATATACTTTTTCCATGTGCCAGTCAGCTGGCCAAAAGCACAACCCAAATATCCTGTTAGGCTCTAATATATGTTGTTATATATTCCCATCTAGATGCGCCCACCCCCCCAGAGTTTGCTTTAGTGTAGCTGGTTTGGGGTATCAGCAGATTTCAGGTACAACTGGATAAACAGATATAGTGCCTGTACATTGTTAAACCACAATTTGTGGTACCCATGCCTCTAACTCTTCCTATTAGAAGCTATGCATTTGAAAGGGGTGAATTAGTGCAGTGTAAATAAAATAAGGAGGAGATCATTCCAGATTTGCATGATTTTTTTTAACAACTAAGTATTACATGAAAAAATGGTTAGACACACATGTTCCCAGATTGTGAGAAATTGTAGCAATAATAAAATCTGGCTCACAGTCTGTTATACAAAATAGTGAAATCTAAGCTGTGTGCCGTCTGTCCATGGTATCAGTGCTGTGGGTTGATTTTATCGAAAATCATCTTGGAGCTGGGCATATGGCTAAGTGTTAGAGCACTTGCCTGGCATGAGTGAGGCCCTGGGTTTGATCTCTCAACACCAAAAAACTTCATCTTGGGACTCCGCAATTTCTTGAAACTCCAGAAATAAGAAAGTTGTTCTTCAACACTGGAAACTCATGTGTTGTAGTATCATTGTTATGGCTCTAAGCTCAGTGATAGAAGAGAATGGTGGTTACACTCCATCCTTCTGAGCTCAAAGTACCTGGCACCTGCTGTATTATTGTTAATCACCTGTACCATGCCTTCCCTTTTCTTTATCTAATGTGCTCCAATTGTCTACTACCCCTGTGGAAGATCTGGGTGACACTGAATTATGGTGAGTAGACATTTAAGCTGTGTGCTTGCATGTGTGTGTATGTTTTTCATTATGGAAGACTTATTGGACCTGTCCAGAAGCTTTTTAAAAAGGATTGGATTTCCCATTATTTATTCGAGCTGAGTATTTTGTTGTGCTTCTAAGTCAGTGTGTAGAGAGTGTTTATTTTAACTTAAAGGAGTTGCTATCCTTTCTACATTTTCTCTAAATATTGAGCCATTTCCAGCAGACACCTGTAATCCCAGCTACTCAGGAGGTTGAGGCAGGAGGATGGTAATATTGAGCTAATCTTGAGCAATTTAGTAAGACCCTGACTCAATATAAAATATAAAAAGGGCTAGGGGTGTATCTCAGTGGTAGAGTACTTGCCCAGCTTGTGTAGGGCTCTGGGTTCAAGCCCAGTACCACAACAGAAAACAAAAATGTTGAGCTATTTGCAAACTCTGGACCAACCCTTGGTCCTGACAATTCATCTTTTGAGAAACTTGTCTGGTATCAGCCCTGCCACTTTCCTTCAGTGCCCTCCAATATTCTGAATACTTTGTATCCCAAGAGTCTTTGAAGTCAGGTGGGATTTCATTCATGGGTATGTGGTTGTTTGCCTTTCCCTCTAGACAGACCCAGTTAGTACATATTCTTCCTTACCCCATTCCCCCCACCCCCCAGTACCAGGCACTATATCACTGAGCTACATCCCCAGCTCCCTGATATACACACTTTTTTTTTTTTGGACAGCATCTCACTGAGTACCCAGGCTGGCCTCAAATTTGCAATTCTCCTTCCTCAGCTTCCCAAATCACTTGGATTATAGGCGTGCAACACCATACCCAGTACATAGTGCATTTTTCATAACACCTCCACTAGAGGTGAGAAGATGATGAAAAAAAGAAGAAATGGCCATTTGTTTTATGGTTCCTCTCATCTTTGCCCTCAATCCCAACTTGCCAAAGAAGGATGTATCCATGGATAAATTATATTGAGTGTGAATAAACTACCATCTGGCTGTTCTTTATATTTATTTACCTAGAGAGATCTAACAAAGAACTAAAAGAAAATTGTAACATTTAATCAATAAATTTGTCCCCAGTGTCAGTATGGTGTTATAGAAAATTGGCAGACTTTAAGAGAATCTGGGTTCAAATGTCTGTTTGCTTTTCTCTTTACTTTATAATGTTGAATGAATTAAACTCTGTAATTCTTATTTTTTCATCTGCAAAAATAGGGATTATTATACCTACCTCATAGGATTATTCTAAGAATTGTTACCTTATATAGACTGTAATAGAACTTGATAAATGGCAACCCCTTCCTCCTTTCTTTCCCCTGCTCCTCATTAAAAACTAACATAACTTAGTATTTCAGATGTACAGATCATTCCTCATTCCAATTAAAGGACAAACCCTATGTCATGGTTCTCAAATGGATTCCTCAGAGTATTTTAAAATACAAATACCCAGGCCCCTGACCTACTTAATCAGAATGTTGGGTGCTGGTAATCTGTATTTTAACAATATATTCCAGATACTTCTGATGTAAGTAATTACTGAGCCACATTTGACAACCATTATTTATTTTTCACAAAAATGTCCATTAGCTGGGTCTTGTCTTTCCTTTAGACATTGACCATAGGATTTAAGTTTTTCTGCTCTTTGTCTTCCATTGTGGTCCCCTTTGCATGTTCTAGTTATATTATACTTATTTATTCTTGTGTCTTTTCCCCACTAGACTGTAAGCTCCTTGAGGGTCAGGATTTATCTCTGTTTCCAGCACCAAGAACATGACCTGGACCACAGAAGATAATCAGTTGTCTTTTGACTAAATAAATGACATAGATTTTAGCCAAAATGTTATTTTGTTGGGGTGTGTGTGTGTCTGTCTGTCTGTCTGTCTGTCTATTTAGAGACTGTGGATTTAAGAGAAAATCAATCTCTCTCTCTTTTATTTCTTTATTTTTGTGGTGCTAGGGTAGAAACCTAGGGCCTTGTTCATAGTAGGCAAGCTCTCTACCACTGAACCACATCCCCCAGTCCAAGATAATCTCTTTAACACTCAAAGATTGAGAATTTGTTGAGTAGAAATATTTGTAAATCAAGATACCAAGTTATACACCACCAAGTTTGTATCTTACCTAGTCCCCCAGCATTACCTTGGTGGGCTGTCTACTCAATACAGTTTAACAGTTATTCACAGAGCAACTCTTCCACAGCTATTGTGCTAAGTGCCAAACACAGGAGGATGAGGAAGGTGTGATCCCTGTTCTCAAGGTGTTTTTCAGCCATCTGTTTCTCTCTTGCCTCTGATTCTATGCCACACATCTAGCACCTGGTCATAGTTTGCCTATCTCAAATTATGTTATTGGTAGGATTGTTTGCCTATTTCTCAGACTTATTGGTACTTGCTTCTTCTCCAGTTTAGAAGTTGGATCCATACGTTGATTTTTTTGCATTCTCCACAATGTTGACTTTTGGTTCAGTCTGGAAGAAGATGTATTAATGCCCACTCCTCCAGTCATTTTTTTAAATAAATTTCTTTATTTATTTTAATTAGGTATATATGACAGCAGAATGCATTTTGTTTCATTGTACATAATTGCAGCACACTTTTCATTTCTCTGTATACAATATGTGCCATCATACATGTACCTAGGGTAATAATGTTCATCACATTCCACCATCTTTCCTGCCCCCATGTCCCCACCCCTCCCCTCCTCCCCTTTGCCCAATCAAAGTTCCTCCATTTTTCCCCATGCCCCCCCAATTGTGGATCAGCATCCACTATCAGAATATTTGGCCTTTGGTTTTTTGGGATTGGCTTACTTTGCTTAGCATGATATTCTCCAGCTCCATCCATTTACCTGCAAATGCCATAATTATATTCTCTTTTAATGCTGAGTAATATTCCATTGTGTATATATACAGTTTCTTTATCCATTTATCTATTGAAGGGCATCTCGGTTGCTTCCATAGTTTAGCTATTGTGAATTGAGCTTATCTAAACATTGATGTGGCTGTGTTACTATAGTATGCTGATTTTTAAGTCCTTTGGGTATAGACCTGAGGAGTGGGATAGCTGGGTCAAATGGTGGTTCCATTCCAAGTTTTCCAAAGAATCTCCATACTGCTTTCTATAGTGGTTGCACCAATTTGCAGTCCCACCAGCAATGTATAAGCATACCTTTTTCCCCCACATCCTCGCCAACACTTATTGTTGTTTGTATTCTTGATAACTGCCATTCTGACTGGCGTGAGATAAAATCTTAGAGTAGTTTTGATTTGCATTTTTCTAATTATTAGAGATATTGAACTTTTTTCATATATTTGTTGATTGGTTATATATTTCTTCTGAGAAGTGTCTGTTCAGTTCCTTAGCCCATTGATTGATTGGGTTGTTTGGTTTTTTGTTAAGTTTTTTGAGTTCTTTATATATCCTGGAGATTAGTGCTCTGATGTGCATGTGGTCCAGTCATTTTACATAACATTGATTGAGCAGTTATTCATATTTATTGAGCACCTATTTTATGCTAAGCACTATTTAGAAAACTGGAGAATATAGAAATGAACAGGATAAATAAGACTGCTATTCTCATGTAGCTTATTTTCTTATGGAAAAGACAAGTAAACCAATAAGATTATTTCAAATACTGGCAGTGCTAATGAAAATAAAATAATGTGAAAGACTGTGGGTGGAGGCAGTAACTTAATGATCAGGAGAGAGTGCCAGGTAAAAAGAATGGCAGGTACTAAGACTTTGGAGCAGGGTTAGGTTAAGCATGCTTGTTTTAAAGGTTTAGTCCCTGCCTTGAGGAGTCCCACCCACAGTTCAGGCAAGACACTGGTGTGAGTAATTGTGATACAAGGCAAACTGACCACTGCTATCACAGAAGAGAGACAAGGAGGATTACAGAGCCCTACTGGGTACTGTAGAGGATACAGAGCTTGCCTGCCCAGGAAGGTCTTGCAGCTTAACAGGGAATAAACTCTCAAACGATAGGTGTTTTATGCAAGAGATGGAAGGCTCTGTGAGCTCAGAGCTGGTCTCGAAATATATACAGGTTAACGATAGCCACTAACATTTTCTGGGGACTTATCATGTGCTAAGCTCTTTACCTGGATTTTCTCAATCCTACTACTAACCTATGAGGTTGGTAGGAACGTGCTGGATGGTGACATATACTGCCACTCTCCTCCTACCCTCTTGCCCTTCTCAAGCTCCAGCTCAGAAGAGGGAGACCTCCCAGGTACCTCTAACCCCTGCTCCAGTAGCAAATTCAAGATTTAAGAAGACATAGGTGGCAGTGGAACCAGTCCTGAGAATGTCTGCCAATTTTTCTGCTGATAATGAAAGAGCAAAGTCCATGCAATACATTTTTTCTGATTCCTCCAGACTTTACTTGGAAAGACATCATGTTCTAACTAGGGAGGTCTTTTTTGGTGTTCTGCGTTTTATGCTCATGGAGCACTTTGGACTTATCATTTCTTCTTCTGTAGCAGCTTAGTGGCACCATTTTTATCCCTGTTCTGCTGAAGAAGAGACTGTGGACACAGAAAGGGAAGAGATGACTTGAAGGTTTCTGCCTGCATCAGGAACCAAGCTCAGAATAGAAATGATTGCCCATGCTCTGAGCCTAATGGTATCATTTGTAATATCCACTGAGCAGGCTCATATCTCATGTCCATTTGAACAGGACTACTTTTGAGCTCTTCAGGTCTCAGGAACTGAAATGTCTATAAGGAAAAATTGGTTCCAAAAAGAATAAAAAAGCACTTGAGTCCTCCCAGGCTCTCCAGAGCATTCAGGACAAAGTCCCTTTGGATCAGCTCACAAGCACTTCTGGATCTGCTTCCTGATGACTTCTCCAAGCTCATCTCTTTCTGGGGCCCCAGCCACTCTTTAGCTTCAGCCACTCTAGATGACTGGCAATTCCCTGATCACACTGTATTTTTTCTACCTCCATTCTAATTTTCTAAAATATTGTTGCCTGCTTCAAATGCTCATTCCCCTCTCATCAAGTTAATTCTTTTTTTTAAAAAAATTATTTTTTAGTTATAGTTGGACCCAATACCTTTATTTTATTTATTTGTATGTGGTGCTAAGGATCAAACCCAGGTCCCCACACATGCTAGGCAACCTCTGTACATTGAGCCACAACCCCAGCCCCAAGTTAATTCTTTTAATTTTTTTTTTTTTTTTAGTTGTTGATGGGCCTTCATTTTATTCATTTATTTATAGTGGTGCTGAGAATCAAACCCAGTGCCTCACACATGCTAGGCAAGCGCTCCACCACTGAACCACAGCCCCAGCCCTCAAGTTAATTCTTAATTGTCTTCCAATGTTCCACTAAAGCATCTCTGTCAGAATCTGTCACCAAGCCCTACTCCCCTTACACTACCCTGACTTGACTAACATGCTCTCTGTACTTCCGCAGGATTTTGTGCTGAGCCTTTACAAGGCTGTCTTCCCCACTACACTGGTCACCCCTAGGAGATAAGGGTTGTTTCTTACTGGACATTATATTCCCAGTTTTCAGCATGAAATCTTGCATACAGAGATAAGATATCCTGTGGATCCTGAATGAATTCCTCTTGAGTTCCAAAACTCAAGTCACCTGAGTATACAAGCATCCCTTGCACAATAAGATCCAACCCTGCAAAATACATTGTGATTATGTTTCAGTCCCAGTCAGTGGCCATTTTTCTTGCTCTTACTATAGAGGCTACATATGGAAAACAAAGACAAAGGGCTATCAGAGGAAGCAGTCAGGTTCAGAGTTTGTAAGCAAAAAGACTGAAAGATTGAACTTTTTGAGCAAGATAGTTATTTTAAAATAGCAGTCTGGCATATTCAAGTTCTTGTCTTGGCTTACCAAGACTCAACATTAAAAGGGAACTTATAGACTGTCCAGTTACTGGTTTTCAAACTGCTTCAGGAAATTCCAAAAGTTCCTGAGAAGTGGGACCCTGAGAGTGGTCCTTAACCAACAGCTCAACCAGAGAATTAGTGTTTTATTTTCTGGGTTTCTAATGAACTGTCATTTGAAGAAACAATTTCCAAGAAAGACTGAAAAAAATCCTAATATAGTCTAACCTCCCAAT